TTCCTTCCTTCCTTCCTTCCTTCCTTCCTTCCTTCCTTCCTTCCTTCCTTCCTTCCTTCCTTCCTTCCTTCCTTCTTCCTTCCTTCCTTTTTTGACATAGTTTTCTCTGTACCCAGGCTGGAGTGCAGTGGTGCAATCTCAGCTCACTGCAACCTCTGCCTCCCAGGTTCAAGTGATTCTCCTGCCTCAGCCTCCCAAGTAGCTGGGATTACAGGCATGCACCACCATACCCAGCCAAAATTTTTATATTTTTAGTACAGAAGGGGTTTTGCCATGTTCGCCAGTCTGGTCTTGAACTCCTTGCCTCAAGTGATCTGCGTGCCTCAGCCTCCCCAAGTTCTTGGGTTACAGGCGTGAGCCACCGCACCTGGCCTGGTTTTTCTTCTAATAGACACAGAATGTCTTCAGGTAAGTTGAGACATTAAAGACAGTTACAGATTAAAATGGGACCATCCAATACATTTAAGATGACTTCATTATTTTTCATGTTCTCAGTTTATTTTCGAGTCTCAATTCTGAAGGAAGAAATGTGTGTGTGTGTGTGTGTGTGTGTGTGTGTGTGTGTGTGTGTGTAATATTAAATTCTCAGTTTCCTAAGCACTTGAGAGAAACTTCACTCTCCCTCCTAGATGCATGGACCACTTCCAGATTGTGTAATTACCTCATGCCTATCTCAGTCCTTTTTGCTTTCAACTGCTTTTGTTCAGTTCCGGCCCTAAACTGTTGAGTAATTTTGCTGCTCTGTGAGACAGCTGACACATTTTAGTTGTATACAAAATGATTCTCATATTCGTTTGTAGTTATGGAGTTGTTAGGCAATTTATGATCCTTTTGGATGTATGATATAATAAAACTGAAGGTCATTATCATTATGAGAATCATTCTCCCTTTTCTGAATGGCTCATGGTACTCTGATTTTGTAAGCAATGCCTATAACCTTGTCTCTAACCACAAAGTCAACTGTCCATGCTTGTGTTTCAGTTCTTCTCACTGTAGAACAAATGCCTCTGATATTTACCTTGATAAACGGAATTGAGATCTGGAAAGCATTATTGTGTTTGCCCTATTACACATGTTTAATCAGGTGCAAATATGAAATAGGTACATGTTGAGGAAAGGTTAAACTTTTAAATCAACTGCTCACCTGTCTATGGGAGAGAAGACAAAATCATCTAACAAGGAAAGTTGTCCTTATTTATAGTTGAATGACTCCACTCAGTTATATTAATGTAAACGGGAAGAACGTCAATTGCCTAGGAGAGAGAGAAAGGGGAATAAGTGTGCTTCTTATGATGCAGCTAAGGTTGCCTTAAGCTGAGCTGCCCATAGTGTGGAAGAAATAACTTTGCAAGAAAGCTGAAGTACTTTTAGAAGAACAAGGAGAAAAACACTTGAAGGATGTTGTTTTCAATCAAGTCCTGCATTTAGTGGAAGGGAACCACAGCCCAAACACAAAACCTTATGGAAAGAAAATAGGCTTAGTTTGGTGACACAGGTGCAACATGAGGGTCCTTAGAATTGGGGCAAGCTACTTTGAAAAGAGTCTTCAGTTGATGCAGAAGAATTTATATTCAGGTCTTAGTATTTAGACATGCTGAGTTAGTGTTTGTGCTTCCTGGAATATTAACTAAGTCATACCCTATGAATCAGTCCAGATTAAGTGTTCAGTGGACTTCATGTGGCACAGAGACAATTGCTCAGTTCATGGATCAAAAGCTAATTTTATCTCCTTTGGCAATTTGGAAGAAGACAGGTGATCCTCTTTTTAGAAGCTGTGAAAGGGGTCATATAGAGAAGATTTCAGAGAAAAAATACAAAACACCTTGTTAATTGGTCTTGTGAAACTGAGCTATCATCAGAGTGAGAGAGAGAGAAGAATAAGAAGGGAGAAATTGGAGGAAGAGGAATGGGGAAATGGACAGACGAGAGGGAGAGAGAGAAACAGAAAGGCAGAGAGAGAGGAGAAGAGAAAGAAAAGAGGGGAGGAGAGAAAAGAGAGAGAACTCTATGTGTTCAAAGATGGTGAAGAAAGTTATTCAGTAATTACAAATATGTAATTACAGAATCCCCTACTTTTTAGGTAGTCATTCCATCAGTTTTAAGAACCTTAACATAATTTGATTAAAATTACCTAAATTAGTATATCTCTCTAATGTCATTATTTGTGTTTCAAATGGCACCACCATGTTAAGTTTAACCTGCAAAGTTCAAAACTTAATCCAATTATGACCCAGGCATGAGTCAGTTCCCAAATACTAACTCTAAACAATTTCTCCTATCAAATGTCTTTGAAAAAAATCCAACCAGGGAACAAACTTACATAGAGATATGAAAATGTCACAGATTTACTGGTAGCTGTGACTTATACACTATCTCCTCTTGCTTTATTAGACTCTAATTAACTTGCTAAGTATGGAATCAAAGGAGAAAAGAAAATATGCCAGTAAGGTGACAGTGGGATACATCCATCCCCAATAAAAACAGACTTACCAAGCTAACTTAAACCTCTAGTTCATATAGTTCTAAAAGAGAAATTTTCACAGGACTACAATTGGGCTCTTCATCTTTCTTTTTGAAAAGGTGTAATTGGTAAGTACTACCTTTCTTTATTGGTATGTGGCACCATCAGAGGTAGCTAAGTGTTCTGCTTGCTTTGAAATCTAAAGATTTCTACGACATATAAATGACTTTATAATTTTCTAATTTATTTCCATTTGTGTTGATTGCATAATATATATCCGTGTCTTAAATTTTCAAAAAATATAGATAAATATTTCTTTAAAACTATTGGAATTTATTGACTCTCCGTTCGAAAACCTAATACTGAGGAATATATGATCTTACAGAATGTATTACCCAACATATAGTTTTTTATTAATCATAGAATCTTATCAGTAATCTACAGTTTTCCAAATATGTATTGAACATTCTTCTAAATCTGTGAAGATTCTATATCTATATATAGAATCTTATGAATCTTATGTATGGAATACCTATATATTTTATACCTATGTATAGAATATTTTTCTTGCCAAATTGACTTGTAATTTACTGGCAATCATTTCTATAATAGAGAGTTTAATAACGTAATGGTTCAAAATTTATAATATCTATATTATTTATATATAAATCTCTTAAGATGCTTAATGTATTATAGTAAAATAATGTTATGTTCATATATAAATACAATCTCAGTAAGATTATGCAAATTTAAAAAGATGTTTTTTTAACATCTCTTATTCTACATCTTAGTACATTTGAGGATTTTCTTTGCCATAGTAAGGTACTGAATCTCAATTCCAATTTAAACAATTTAAATTGTTTAAATGCACAAAGATTGAAGCTCTGCACAAAGCCACTCCTAATATATCACTATTTCTTCATTTTCCATTTTAATCTAGAGCACTTGTTTGGGTTTATTAACTTTGAAACTGCTACCGCAAAAGAAATGTAATTTGCCATAAGTAACTATTGAACACTCTGATAGCTTCAACACCAAGAATTATGTGCTACTGTAAAGAGTTTATTAATGACATTCTGATCATATCCTTGGCATGATCTTTACAAACAAATTTTATTTTAAAATCCAATTCTATATCACCTTAGAAATAAACTTTGGAGAGGCTAATCTTTAAAATGAATAAAAAAGATAACATTTAAACCCTCTAGCAATAGGAGAAAAATGACAGAAAATCATGGATTCAGTGTTCAGCTGCCTTAAGCAGGTATTTTCTTAGGATTTCCCTCCTACAGATCCCATAAGTCTAAATTCAGACAAATTTTGTTTATTTAAAGAAGTAAACTGAATGATATGCTTGCTTAAAATATTTGAAGATGTCTTTAAAAAGCCCTTCATTGGCTGGGTGAGGGGGCGTTTGCCTGTAGTCGCAGCACTTAGGGAGGCCCAGGCAGCAAACTTGAGGTCAGGAGTTGCAGACCAGCCTGGCCTACATAGGAAAGCCCCATGTCTACCGAAAATACAAAAATTGGCCAGGCGTACTAATGCACACCTGTAATCTTAGCTACTCTGGAGGCTGAGGCTCAGTACTTGAACTCCAGAGATGGAGGTTACAGTGAACCGAGGTCGTACCGTTGTCCTCCGGCCTGGGCAACTGAGCAAGACTCCTCAAAAATAAATAAACAAACAAATAAATACAAACAAATTTTAAAAAATCCTTCATTATTTGGTGTGCAGAAATAGTTTTCCTCTTCACTTGGTACCAAAGTGACCAACAGTGAAGAATGGCTGTTTTCTCCTTTTTGGGAATAAAGATAGAAAGTTAATTGTAGGACACAAGCTGGAAAAATCTCACAGTTGGATTTTTCTATGAAGAAGTTGTCTTACATAGTAAATCACAAGCATAAATGGTAAACTATTTTCACATATTAATAAGCTCTTAGCTTGTAGAGTGAGAATTTTGTCCATTGACTGATCAGCAATTTTAGTCAAATATTGTTACAGTAAAAGAATCTTCATTCAGCTCCCCTGTATAGAGTCTTTATAATGTATTTGTTAGTATTATTTAACCATTTTTGTATAGGGTTTTGTATTAAGTTTTCTTATTGATTTTTACTTTTTTCATCTTAGGATTTAGATACATAGGATCATTTTTTACTGGTATGCATAGAACATAATATCTGAGAATTTTTTTCACTTCTCTCTGTTTAAGAATTCTTTTAGAGCAAAAAGATGTGTAATCCTGATGTTTTGAAATCTATCTATATTCTCCTTTGTGGATTATGTATTTTATAATGACATAAGACATGTCTTCC